AGGGGAAAGGAGGAGAAGGGGAAAGAGGGGGAGAAGAAGAAGGGGGAGGGAGAAAGAGGAGGGGGGGGGGGGGGCGAAAGGGGCTTAAAAGGAGAGGTTTGGCTTAGCAATATTTAGACTTAACAACCTATAGATGCTGTGCATTTTCTCTTAATAAAGAAATCTTTAATGGAACCAATCAAACTCCAGAAGATTTATTGAACTTTGGGAATGAGTGTGCAGACTCTGACACATAGGCCATTTTCCTCAAGGATAATCAGGGGGCACCGATTCTGGGAGTAGGCCAGGTGTTAAGCAGAACTGGTAGGACCATTTCCTTCATTTCCATCCAGGACACTCTGGGGAATGTTTAGAACATCCTCCACGCAGGCTTGTTCCAAACAGTTTGCCTGTAGAAAACTTTAAATTAAGCTAAGAATTGGGAGTTGCCCTCTCCTCCTTTAAGCTGTGAACAGTAGCTTAATAAACCACAGAGCACACGTCATTTATTTTAATTCCTCCTCAATTCATGCAAGCAGGCAAACAAAGCAGGAAAGGAAGAGAGATTTATTTAGTCCTAACCCAGGATTATGATTCGTTATGCCCCCAAGGAGCCAGGATTTATAAACCAGCATTAAATCTTGGTTTATATTGATAACAAATTAATATACATATTGATGTCATAATACATGGTTTACAGTGTCATAAATGCAGCCACTCTCATGTAGCATTTTTCAGCATTATATATTAAGCAATTCTGGATCAGAAAAAGACACTTTGATGGTATAATCAGAGATGATGTAATTGTTTAAAAATGTGGAATTTTGGATATTCCTTCCTTCTTAAGCATAGGAGATGTTGAGGGAATTGTGGCAGTTTTTGACCTGCTTTTTGACTAATAGCACAGTCCTCAAACAAGAATGAAATTTGGAGGAAATAGCACTTTTTGGCTCTTTCACTGAATCTTCCAGTTAGCAAACAGCACACTTATAGCAGCATTCACATCATAATTACTGTGACATCATTTAATTTTTTTTCTCCAGCAGCCTGTATCTTTGGTAGTAAGAGGCACCATGTTAAGAAGACGTGAGGTGCAATTATTGTACCTTGTCCTTTAAACATCAAAAGAAGTGTGTTACTTCAAAATAATTAAGAGGGAAAGAAGTCTATATTATGAAGGAAGAAGGTTTTGGGGAAGATGTCACTTCTCAAATTCAATTTAATATCAGGGTTTCAAACTTGATTTATTACACCATAAGATATAAGAGTTTAGGATATGTAGCAGTTGTCAGTAAACTAAACAAGAACATAGCTATATTTCTTTAACAAAGCAGGGCAGCAAAAACCAATATTAAACAAAACTAAACATTCTTATTTCTCCAAATACATTTAGTGACCCTTAGTGACAAAACACTAAAGTATTAGCCATATTTGATTTCTTATAAACTGTTTAATGGACTGTTAATATTGCTTTGGTAATTTGTTTCATTCTGTTTTTGGGCTTTTGTTAGTTTTAAGTAAGCCACCAAACCTAAAAGCAATGCATAAATAAAACTGACATAGAAAATATCAGTCAGGAGGTTTAATCATCTTGAAAGCTGTTAAAAGATGGCTGTTCAACAAATCTTTGCGGATTATTAGTATCTACTTCTTTGCCTGCCATCTTAAATTTTATATGTTTTATAATAAGTGTCATGACGTGGTTTCATGGTTTTACTGCTTTTATTTCTGTAGGTTTGTGAACTGCCTAGAAAAGTCAATCCTGCTAATATACTAGTAATGGAAAATAAATAAAAAGCAAACAAGCACTTAAGTCTGCTCAGTTGTACTCCCTCTCTTCCACCCAGTCTGTAAGCTTCTTAGAACTTTTCTTTTCAGTAAAATTTGCTGTACGCTATTTTAATTACAACTGTTTATATTGTCTGGAAGTTGAGTCATGGCAACTGGACTTCTTTTCTTTTTGGTAGAGACGTTTTGCTACTTGTCATGGCAACTGGACTTCTTTTCTTTTTGGTAGAGACGTTTTGCTACTTGTCATGGCAACTGGACTTCTTTTCTTTTTGGTAGAGACGTTTTGCTACTTGTCATGGCAACTGGACTTCTTTTCTTTTTGGTAGAGACGTTTTGCTACTTGTCATGGCAACTGGACTTCTTTTCTTTTTGGTAGAGACGTTTTGCTACTTGTCCAAGCAGCTTCTTCAGTCTGTAGTGAAGAAGTAGTGAAATGTCTCTACCAAAAAGAAAAGGAGTCCAGTTGCCATGACTCAACCTCCAGACAATTCCACCTGGATGACCGAGAATCTTCATAAACAACTGTTTATATTGCTTGCTAGCCACCTTGGAAGGACTGTCATTCTGAAAGCCAGGTTATCAATTATTTTCATAAACATATATGATGTTGTAAAATAGTCCTAACTCAAGTACCCTGTCATTTTATTGCATTACAAATTTCTCAATTCCTGGCCAGCAAAGCCATAAAATGGGGGGGATTGGTAATTTGGTACAGCTGTAGTATTATATTGGGGGAGGCTGATTTAAAACATAATACAGAACATTTCGGATGCCTCTTAAATTGGGATAATTTCTAGATCAATCTCAGAATTTTTAGTGCAATTCTATCCACATCTAAAAGGCAGTTTCGCTACATGCAGTGAGACTTATTCCCAGGTGCACAAAAAATTGCAGTCTCCATATTTAGAGGTGTCCTGAACTCACATGGAAATATATCTGCATTCATCACGGAAGGTGAAATTCTTTAGGTTTTAGTGCTTAACAATGGCCTTTTGCTTTTGAAAACAAACTGGTGCAGAAGCAGCCATTAGGTCAAGGTGAGAAAGGAACATAGGCAATAAGACTTATAAAGAGAATCCATATAAAACTGATAACATTCCATTTTAGTAGGCATGTGTAGAAGAATGCAGATACCGTACATGTAACATTTCTAAATTCTTTGTCCAGCACAAGCTCTGCCAGGAGTGACGCCGGACCAACTGGCCGTAAATAAAACCATTTACTGTGAAATTGATCTTTCCTTGGGGACACCCCTAACCTGCAAATATTTCACCTAGCAAAGTATTTGTAGTTCCCTTGTAAAAGCCTACATGATGCTCTTCAAGTGGTTGACATACTAAATATAAGTCATCAGCAAATCCATGGCTCTGTAAACCCAACACTTTTTTTTAAAAGCTTATTACGTCCCAACTGGTTGGAGTTCGATATGATTATTGTACTACTGCATTTATAGACAAGGCTAGCCGTGTTCACTGTTCCATAAAGAGGCCAGAAGGAGGAGGGCACGCGAGGGGCATACTGACAAGACCTTGTGGTCTGTAACAGCCTCACTTTGTCAGAGGGGGCACTTTGCACAAAGCCAGGTGATCTCCCAAGATGCAAAGTAAGGACGGGGATCATCAGTTCGATATATAAATCCCAGGGAAAGGAGAGCAGCTTCTTCTCCTCGCAAGTAGCTACCCGGCCTACTCCGCAGCCCCTCCACCACCGCACCGCTCTGACGATCATCGGGAAGCTCGCAGGGCGCAGCGGTGCGAGCGAGGAGCCGGGCTCAGCCTTCCCGCCCGGAAATGGCGCCGCCGCCTCCCCTCCTCTTCCCTGGGCGTCTGCAGCAGGAGTGTCTGGGAGATCAAGCGCGATTTCGGTTGCTGTGAGGAGGTTGCCTCGGCGGCTCGGGCTGCGGGAGCAGGATGGAAGGGGTCCGCCCGGTGAGGGACGGAGGGGAACCTCTTCGCCGTCCGAGCCCCCTCCCTAGCGCGGTTAGGCTGTTCTCGGGGCGCTCGCGTGGTGGTTCCCGAGGATGCACCCCTGTTAAAATCGGGCTTGGCGGAAAGTGTCAGTTTAGCATCTCTCAGATTTGTGGATTCTTAAACTGGCAGTTTCATGGCTTTTCCCCCCGTTTAAAATGTTACGGGGGGGTGGTTTGTGCTCACAACGGCCGCAGTTTAGCTCCTTTCCGAAGTAAACGCACGGCAGTATCTGCATCGTGAATTCTTTGGTATTATTTGGAAATGTTACCTTACGCTTCGTTTGCAAAACTGGCCGCTTGTTGTTGTTCTCGACTGGGGGTTATTTTCCGCATTTAGGATTCGCTGTGAAACGTTCACTATTCGGCGAAGAAATCCACGATGGATAATCCGCACGTGGCCGTAAAGGTTCATATGTGATGCTTCAGTAATCCCCCGATAGCCCCTTTTACAGTATTTTTAAAATGCTTCGGGTTTGTTAAGACAGGCAGGAAAAACTTGCCTACACCTTAACGCGTCCTCAGTTCTCTTTCAGTTTGTTTAGTTGCCCTATCTTGAGCTTTTCCTTTGGGTCACTGGCAATCCAATTCTGTGCCTATTTAATCAGAAGGAACAGGGTACACCGGGCATTGCAGCAATTTCCTTCAGTGTACTATCACTGTGGAACAGCCTTTCTCAACCTTGGGAACTTTAAGATGTGTGGACTTCAACTCCCAGAAATTCCCCTCCCCCAACCAGTGCCTGGGGGATTCTTGGGGGGTGTATCGAACA